ATTCTCTCTGTCTTGGCTTCTGATTCTGCGGGTTTCATACTCTTCTTCAATTTTTCTACATGTACATGTATGCATTTCTATATTAGCATTTCAGTCAATCTTGCAATAAATGACATTAATGTTGTAGACAGAGCAGTAGAGAAATCAGAGATATACACAGTATTGTTACAAGAGCAGCTTGCAGCTCTCAAATTCCTTGCAGATCTTGAGTTTTGAGATTTTCTTCATTTTTTTGACATTTTTCAGGTGGCATGATATTGAAAATAGATTAAATGTGTGATGTATGAAAATGAATGAGATGTGTATAATAACATTTGTCTTTTTACAGTCAATTTTTACAGTTGATAATTAATTCATTTCTCTTTTCTTACACTTTTTCTTTGTCTGCTAGTCACTACTCTTACACAACCTCTATATAGTACAGTGTTCAGTGACTAGATTCAGCAGCTTTCATCTTTTATAATTCTGTCTCACACATTATACAATCTCTCTTCGCCTGCTCAGATTACTACAGTAAACAGCTCATTAAAACTAACCTCACTCAATCTCTGAGCATTTTCAGAAATCAAGATGACTTAGTCTTATATATCTGTGAATGTTTCAGATGCTTCATCCTCTGTTGTCTCTGCAATTAAACTGATGTAAACAGTTGAATTCAACTCTGAATTTCTTTTTCTTCTGTGATCTGATTCATGTGTAAGTCTGCTGCTTTGAGACTGCTCTTTACTGTGTTATACTCACTGTCTGCAGTGTGTTATTATATGATCAGCTACAGTCTCATCACTTATTAAAGTATGATATTTATCTGATTTCTTCATTACTTCTCATTCTTTTCTTATAATTATGAAAAGATCAGAATAAGTAAGATTATTTGATTTATAAGTGTCTATAATTTCTCTAACTTCATAAGACTTTTCAATTATAAGTCTCTTCTTTTTCAACACTGATAATAGTGCTGTAAATAATTATAATCTACTCAGATCTTACATCTTTACTTTCATAAGTTATAAATTATTTATTAAGTTATATAAGATCTGTCTCTCTGATTCTTTCAATGCATATATTTTCAGAGAATGTGAGTTGAGTATTTTATATGACTCAAATCATCTAGATTAAAACTTCTCAGAACTCTTATTGTATATGAGAACTCATATTCTCATCTTGAGACTCAATTTCTTAACTAGTGAGTCTCATATTCTTTTCAATTGAATTGCTCAGTTCAGAAGTAACTTATTAGCTTTTGTATGTACATGACTGATCTCTTTCAATCTTGATTCTGTGTTCATAACTATTGCATCTGTAACTGCTGTTCTCTCTCTCATCTTTTTCAAAGCATTCTTCAGAATGCATGGATGCAATTCATACAACAGATAGAATAATAAACACTTGAAGACTGCATACTGCTGAATTCATGTGACTAATAGTACCTGACTGAGATATTTATCTCATAATGTTGTAGACTTGCTCACTAGATATTTTATCAGTATGTTACTCAAGATTTCATTCAAGTATTTCATCTTTCTGTTTATTCACAGATGATATAATATTGTTCTATGATGTCTTGTCTGTAACTAGCTTATAAAATGTCTCACTACTTCTTCTATAAGATTTGTATCATTATCAGTTAGAATCTCATATGATATTTCATAGTTAATATAGATCTCATCATGTAGAAACTTCATCATCATCTTCTCTATTATCTCTGAAACTGCTTTCACAACTGGTCAGTTAGTAGTGTAATTAATAGCAGTGATTATTCATTGATTTTCATTTGACATTCACAGTAATATGTCTATGAGATTTACTTCTCATCATTTAAATGATTGTATTATACACTTCATCTGATATTACACTTTCTTGCATTCTAATCCTTTCTTAGATTCTTTCATGACCTGATAATTCAGGCACTTGTGAGTGTATGTCTGAATATTCTCAGTCATGCTTGATCAGTATACTCTTGATTCAAGTACACTCATGAGTTCAGAGCTTTCTAAGTGACTGAATTCCTTGTGTATGTGAGTCACTAAGTCACATCTAAATAAAGATTCTAGATAGAGAGCTTTCATATATTTTAGATTGCAGTAAAGCATAACATCATTTTTCAATTTTCTCAGCTTAAAGTTTGAAAGCATCTCTTCTACTACTCTCATAAGACACTTATCATTCAATATCTTGTCATTCTTCAAGTGAAGGATTATGACATTCACTTATTCTGATTCCTTGTATTCTCTCAGTGTATTTAATACAAACTTCTCTTATATCTGATTTACAGAATTCTTATTCATGAAATCGGGTCTGTGACTGATTACATCAGATATCACAGTATTCAATTTCTTTCAGTATTTAATATAAAGATCATACACTTGAAACTCTGAGATTCAATGTACTAAGTGTTTAAAAGGTTTTATCATTGATTGTAGATAGATGAGACTTTCATAATCTGTGATCACTGTTATTATATACTTATTATCAATATATCTATCTTACAATGTCAGTGTGTGCTTGATTGCTAGCAATTCCTTTTCATACACTGAGTAATTGAGCTCAGTGCCTGATAGTTTTCTATCATTATACATCATCAGATGCAGCTTGCTATTCTTACTTATCTGTAGAAGAGTGCCTCTGATAGCTCATTTAAATGCATTCATCTCAATGTAGAAAGGTTTATCATAATCTGATTGAATAAGCACTGAGAATATTATTACACATTCTCTCAGTGTGAGAAAAGCCTCTTCATGTATAACATTTTAGATGATTGAATGAAACTTCTTCTTTCACAGATTTGTATCTGTTTCTCTTAAGAGATCTGAGAGTGATGCAGATATTCATGTGAAATTCTTGATGAATCTACAGTAATATGAGATCAACTTAAGAAACTATTATATATAATGTATATTTCTCAGCTGCAGTTAATTCACTATAATATTCAATTTCTCTGAGATGAGATGTATACAGTCATTACTTACTACATGTTCTATAAACTTTAACTCTTCTATTTCAAACACATACTTGATTGATTAAATATAGAGCTTATACTCTATCAGAGTTATAAGCACTTCATTGAGATGCTTCAGATATTCATTATATAAGTTTGAAAAGACTAGAATATCATTGAGATATACAAGACATGAGGTTTTATTCTGTTTATAAAGAATTATATTCATCATTGTTTAAAAGATGACAGGTACATTTGTTAGACTGAATGATATTGTCAGAAATTCAAACTTCTCTTATTATATATTAAACACAGTTCACAGAACTGACAGTTCATCTACACAGATCTGTCAGTATTCTGAGAGAAGATTAATCTTTGATAGATATCAGATGTTTTCAACTGTATTCAACTGTTGTTGAATCTGTGACAATGAATATTTATTCTTGATCATAAGCTTGTTAAGTGCTTGATAATCAATACACATTCATCACTCTTCATCTGTCTTTTTCATGAATAGAACTGAAAAGCCTCACATACTTGATGAGAATTATATGAGATCACATTCTAGAAGATCTGTGATCTGACACTTCTGTTCTTTGAGATGCATTTGTGATAGAGAGTACACATTCTGATTGACTAGTTTTGCATTCTCTGTGTCTAGACTGACCGTGTGACTGTGTCTGAGACCAGGACCAGATTTTTTGATAGTCTCATTATCAATTCGACTGATCCCATTACACAGTTTTAACATTAGATAGTAGTCTCATACTGTCTCAGTGAGACTTACTGTCTATTCTTGTCACATTTTTCAAATAGGATCATGATTTTCACTTCTCAATTTAAATTATTTTTATTGCTTTAAATGACTTTAAATCTCATTTGAGTGTTATCAAAAAGCATTACTTTTTAAAAAATTAAAAATAGTCTAAAAGAAACCTTAAAATGTCTAAAAATAGTAACTTTATGCCAAGAATGAAACTAAATGAGATCAAATGAGATCACTTTCTCATTTTTTTCAAGTCATGGTTTCATTTTAAGATCTGATATATAGTCACTTTACATGTTTTTTTAATAGCCAGTCCCAGCGGGATTCACATCAAGAAATGTATGGAACCAGACCAAATGAGATCAAACATGAAATTCATGGTTCCGGCGGCCAGTCCACCTGTGTCAATCTCATGTATAAATTCTTGTTTCAGCAGCAATTCTGATGAAAGATCTGTTCAGAAGATCTTCTTATACTTCTTCAGAAGCTTCTTTATATACTTATTCTTCTGTATATTCTTTATCTTAGTTTTTTTTACTTTCAGATTCTGTATAACATACAGAATGCTTTCAGATAAGATCTTGTAAATTATTCTCTTTACTTGTTAATGTGTGGTTCGGAAGAACGTACGACCGTCGGATAATACCGCGGCCGCTTCCGAACTACTAGCGTACGCGTACGAGTGTAAAGAGGCCATAGCATATGCTAATTAATTTAGCATACAAGATTAAAATATAAGAAGCCGGTGTACACCTGTAATCATACACTGGCTCAAGCAACCTTTGAATCACATCTGATAGCATGTCTAAAAACCAGTGAGAAGTGCAGACTCCTTCAGAGTGTGATAATTCCACCTATGAAGTGATTCATAGTTATCATGCCAGTGTGGTCCTAGAACATCTCAAAAGATAGCATACAAAGAGCAGTGAGCAGAAGAGCATCTGATTGATGCTGCTTCACTTGTGAGGGGAAAACTCCACACTCAGATGCATGCCACATATGAGACATGAATGAATGAGGTGTGAGAAAGGGGATGAAAGTAATGAACCAGATTCAAAGAAGTTCACTCCCTACTCAAAAGAAGGATAAAAGAGAGGAGTGATCATCACTGAAGTTGTACAATGATAACAGAGCAATATAGTGATATAACAATATAGTGATATAATAATACAGTGATATAGCAATATAATGATACAGCAATAATGATAGACATTGTACAATCAATGAGAAATCACTGAAATGAATATCTTCTCTAACTGATACAAACAACACCCTTCTCTGCTATCTGAACTGAAAGGTATGCAGAACCTCTCAGAGGGATTACTCAAAGCAGTAAGAAAAGTGACTGAGATCATCAAACCAGAATTGAAGCTCTGTATACATATGAGAATTCTAAATGAGATTGAGGCCTTGCATACACAGTGACAGGCTGAGGTGAAGACTAAACAACAATTGGCATTCACTGCAGACCAAGCATTCACTATGAAGAGCTTTGCCGACGCAATTGCCACTATCAATAAGAATAGAGAAAACCAGATCTTAGGCCTGCAGCAGGAGATTGAATGTTTATACAGACAGGCAACTACACTAAACCTGAAGATCTCATCACAATTATTCACAATCTCTTCAGAAGTGTACACATCATTGAAGACTGCTGTGCAGGATGAGAATCTGAGCATGAAATATATCAAGCCAGAAGATCTGCTGAAGTCATTAAGCTTTAATAATAACTGAAAAAATGATGCTGCAATTAGCTGACTAAGTCAGATGCAATCATATTATCAGATCAAATGTGAACTCACAGACAGACAGTCAACAGAATTCTAACAAGTCTTAAGATCTGCTATGTTTCTACACAGAAAAGCAAAGTCATTATGAATGACTGATGAAAAGATGAATCTCACAGACCTGAAGTAATATTCATTCTCATGAACATGAAATGAGTTTTTCAAGTGAATCTTACACAACTTTGAGAAAGTGAATATGTGAGACAAGTGTTATGAATACTTCACTGAGTGTAGACAAGTGAGTGATCTTACATCATACTTCACACACTTCAGCTTACACTATCTCATATTGAATGAAGAGCTTTCAACATCTTTCTGTTTACAGATCTTCATTCATGATCTTACATCTGAGTTGAGAGTGGAATGGAAATGCTTAACCTCACAGTCAGGCACAGTGAAGAAAGCATATAACATTCTTATTATACAGAAACAAGTGAGTCAATTACAACAGAAAATACTGCAATTGAGTATATCTCAGTGAAGAACAGATAATCAGACTTCTATGACACAAGTCACACACTCAGACACAATGAATCTAGATCTGAATGTCATTGCTAAAGCACTGAATCCTCTGAAAAAGAAATCCTCTGAGTGAAAACCTTGGTGTTACAAGCATCAAGCTTGTTTCAACTGCAGATGCTAAAATCATGGTGCAAAAGATTGCACTCAGCATACACAGTTAAAAAACTAGCAGGATCAGTGAGCTTGAAGACACTCACTGATATTCTATGAAAAGTCTTCAAAGTGAAAGAGATGCCTGCATTAGATGATTCTCTGAATTCTGTGAATGCAAAGAAGAAGCAGGCTCCTGACTGAGATGCAGGTGAGGATGAAGTGAACACTCATCTCAATGCCTTGAGGCCTGAAATGTTAATGTATAAGAGGCACTTGAATAAGAATTGAGAGATGACTGCAAAAGTATTAGTAGACACAGAAGCTTCTATATAATATATTGATGATCATATGATCTGAAGATTGAAAGAGGTTCACTGAGTGAAGAATTCTCAACATATAAGATTATCTGATAACTGATATCTGATATCACCTGCAAAAGTAAGAGTTCTCTTGCATTTTGAAGAATGATCTTGCTATATTTGAGCATGAGAGCTGCAGAATGTGGAATATGATCTTATTCTTGAACTTGATTGATTTCAAAGGTTCAACCCGCAGATTCAATGATGTACATGTCATATGCAGTTGACTGATAGGAAGAAAATGGTTCATACAATTCTATCAACTGATATGAGAAGAACATTCCATGCCCCTGATATAGAAGAATTAAATCTGCTTACACACTAACAAGCAAAGAGGATAATTCACAAGACCTCATCTGAAAGCATTCTGTATATCATACAGGACCTGAAAGCAGAGGAAATCAAGATAAAGAATATGCAGAAGGACAAGTGTATGAAGAAGCTTCTGAAGAAGCATGAGAAGGTCTTCTGAACAGACCTTTCACTGAAATTGCCGCTGGAATGAGGATTTGTATATAAGATTAACACAGGGGACACAAAATCAGTCAACCAGAATGTGTATCCTCTGTCACAAACACACCTTGAAGAACAGAAGTGTTAGATCACTGACCTTCTAGAATGTGATCTCATACAATCCTCATCAAGTGCATGGGGCTTTCCAGTTCTATTCATGAAAAAGACAGGTGAGAAGTGACAGATGTGTATCAATTACTGAGCACTCAACAAGCTTATAATTAAGAATGAATATCCACTGTCATGAATTCAACAACAGTTGAATACAGTTGAAAATGTCTGATATCTATCAAAGATCAATCTTCTCTCAGAATACTGGCAGATTCATGTAGATGAACTGTCAGTCCCACAAACTGTGTTTAATACACAATAAGAGAAGTTCAAATTCCTGATAATGTCATTTGATCTGACAAATGCACCTGTCATCTTTCAAATGATGATGAATATGATTCTTTATAAACAGAATGAAACCTCATGTCTTATATACCTCAATAACATTCTAGTCTTTTCAAACTTATATGATGAATATCTGAAGTATCTCAATGAAGTGCTTACAACTCTGACAGAGTATAAGCTTTACATCAAATCAATCAAGTGTGTGTTTGAAATGAAAGAGTTGAAGTTCATAGAACATGTAGTGAGTGGTGACTATATACATCTCATTTCAGAGAAATTGAATGTCATAGTGAATTAGCCGCAGCTGAGAAATGTACATTATGTATAACAGTTTCTTGAGTTGGTCTCATACTACTGCAGATTCATCAAGGATTTCACACAAATATCTGCATCACTCTCAGATCTTTTAAGAGAAATGAATACAAATCTGTGAAAGAAGAAGTTTCATTCAATTATCTGAAATGCTGTGTGCAAAGAGGCTTTTCTCACACTGAGAGAACATATAACAACATTCTCAGTGCTTATTCAATCAGATCATAATAAACCTTTCTACATTAAGACAGATACATTCAAATGAGCTATCAGAGACACTCTTCTACAGATGAGTAAGAATGACAAGCTGCACTCAGTGATATATGATGATAGAAAACTATCAGGTGTCAAGCTCAATTACCCAGTGTATGAAAAGAAATTGCTAGTGATCAAGCATGTGCTGATATTGTGAAATAGATATATCAATAACAGGCATATGACAACAGTGATCACAGATCATGAAAGCCTTGTCTATCTACAATTAATAATAAAACCTTTCAAACACTTAGCATGTTGAATCTCAGAGTTTCAAGTGTATAATCTTCATATCAAATACTGAAAAGAATTGAATGCAGTGATGCTGAATGCAATCAGTTACAGACTCAATTTCATAAGTGAGGATTCTGTGAATCAAGTACAAGAAATGTTCATGTTAAACACACTGAGAGAATGCAAGAAATCAGAATGAGTGAACATCATGATCTCTCACTTGAAGAATGACAAGATGTCAGATAACAAGTGTCTTATAAAAGTAGTAGAAGAGATGCTTCTGAACTTCAAGCTGAAGAAATTGAAAAATGATGTTGTGCTTTACTGTGATCTAGAATATACAGAAGCTCCCTATCTAGAATCTTCATTTAGATGTGACTTGATGACTCATATGCACAAGGAATTCAGTCACTTAGAAAGCCCTGAACTCATAAGCATACTCAAATCAAGAGCATACTGGCCAAGCATGGCTGAGGACATTCAGGCATATGCTCACAAGTGTCTGAATTGCCAGATTGTGAAAGAATCTAAGAAAGGATTAGAATGTAAGAAAGCACAACATCAGATGAAGTGTATAATACAATTATTTAAACAATGAGAGATGAATCTCATAGACATATTACTGTGAACATCAAATGAAAATCAATGAATAATCACTGCTATTGATTACACTACTGACTGACCAGTCACAAGAGCAGTTTCAGAGATGACAGAGAAGATGATGATAAAGTTTCTACATGATGAGATCTATGTCAACTATGAAATACTGTGCAAGATTCTAACTGATAACAGTGTAAACCTCATAGAAGGAGCAGTGAGGTATTTCATGGGCCAGTTACAGACAAGACATTGTAGAACAATGTCATATCATCTGCGGATGAACAGGAAGATGGAACACTTGAATGAAATCTTGAGCAACATGCTGACAAAATATCTAGTGAGTAAGCCTACAAGACTATGAGATGAATATCTCGGGCAGGCGCTATTGGCCATGCGGATTTGACAGCATGCAGTCTTCAAGTGTTCACCATTCTATCTGTTGTATGAATTGCATCCGTGCATCCCGGAGAATGCTTCAGAAAAGATGAGAGAGGGAACAGCAGTTGCAGACACAGCAGGAACAGCAGTTGCAGATGCAGCAGTTACAGACACAGAACCAAGATTGAAAGAGATCAGCCACACACACACAAAAGCTAACAAGTTACTCCTGAACTGAGCAATTCAATTGAAAAGAATACAAGACTCACTTGTTAAGAAATCAAGTCTCAAGATGAAAATGTAAGTTCTCATACACAATGAGAGTTCTGAGAAGTTTCAATCTAGATGATTTGAGTCATATAAGATACTCAAATCACATTCTCTGAGAACATACACATTAGAAGAATTAGAGAGATAGATCTTACACAACTTAATCAATGATTCACAACTTGTAAAAGTAAAGATACAAGACTCAAGTGAATTATAGTCATCTACAGCACTATCATCAGCATTGAAAAAGAAGAGACTTACAATTGAAAAGTCTCACAAAGTAAGAGAAATCATAGACACTTACAAATCAGATGATCTCACTTATTTCAATCTTTTCACAATTATAAGAAAAGAATGAGAAGAAATGAAGAAATCAGATGAATATCACACTTTAATAAGTGATGAGACTGTAGTCAGTTATATAATAACATGCTGCAGACAGCAGATGTAACACAGTAAAGAGCAGTCTCAAAGCAGCAGACTTGCACATGAGTCAGATCATAGAAGAAAAAGAAATTCAGAGTTAAATCTGACTGTTTACATCAGTTCAATTGCAGAGATCACAGAGAACAAACTATCTAAAACATTCATGAACACATAAGATCAAGTCATCTCAACCCCTGAGAATGCTCAGAGATTGAGTGAGGTTAGTTTCAATGAGCTGTTCACTGTAGTGATCTGAGCAGGTGAAGAGAGACAGTATAATGTACAAGACAGAATTACAAAAAGTTAGAAGCTGCTGAACCTAGTCATTAAACACTGTACTATATAGAGGTTGCATAAGAGTAGTGACTAGCAGATAGAGAAAAAGTGTAAGAAAAGAGATGATAAATTAATCATCAATTATAAGAATCAGCTGCAAAAGACAAATGTTATTATACACACTTCATTCATTTTCATATATCACATATTTAATCTATTTTCAATGCCACGTCATCTGAAAAACATCAAAAATAAAGGAAATCTCAAAACTTGAGATCTACAAGAGATTTGAGAGTCACAAGCTGCTCTTACA